AATAAATGGCATATTGTCTTTTTGCATAGACACATACCACTTTGGTGTCCATAACTTTTCTTTAATTTTTAAGTTTTAATTTTTTTTTTTTTTTTTTTTTTGAGACAGAGTCTCATTGTGTTGCCCGGGCTAGAGTGCCGTGGCATCAGCCTAGCTCACAGCAACCTCAAACTCCCAGGCTCAAGCGATCCTCCTGCCTCAGCCTCCCGAGTAGCTGGGACTACAGGCATGCGCCACCATGCCCGGCTAATTTTTTCTATATATTTTAGTTGTCCAATTAAGCTCTTTCTAATTTTAGTAGAGACAGGGTCTTGCTCTTGCTCAGGCTGGTCTCGAACTCCTGAGCTCAAACAATCCGCCCGCCTCGGCCTCCCAGAGAGCTAGGATTACAGGCGTGAGCCACCGCGCCTGGTCTTAAGTTTTAATTTTTAAAATTAAAAAAAATGTAAACTTTAATGAAGGTACTTGTTCATTATTCATCCAATTCAGAAATTTAATGGTGTGCAAACGTGAGGCATTATGATATATTTTCAAACTTTATTTGAAACAATGTGTTAAAATAATGATAATTAATAAAAGTCTATGCTGGATGGACATCTGGATTATGGCTATCTAAGAACCTATGAAAAATATACCAACAACTTCAGAGGAAATTTATTATTGAATTACTTCTAAAAGCAGATGATCACATGTACAAATAAAATACTTGCATTTTCTTAAAATGCAGTATGCTGTAATGTAAATTTTTAATAAAACAGGACTACTATAAACCTCCTCAAGGAGGCTTTATTACTAGAACTAGACTGGAAATGGAAACAAAATCACAGAAATCTCCTGTTTTGTAGTCAAATAGGGTTGTTTATTTATACTTTAACAGATAATTCGCCAAGGAATAGAGCTGCTGAAATACCTCCCTTTGATTCCTTTCTGATGATTTTCACAACCAAGAGTGTTTTGAATAACTATTTTCCCTGTCAGTTGTGTACAAAGAAGAGCTATGTTATCATACAGCTCAAGAACTAGGTTTAGCATCACTAGTGCACAAGGGTACTGAATGTGAGTTACAGTAAAATGTCTTCAATTTGAATCTCCATTTAACACATCACTAACGGTTCTTTCAGTGAAGGATCTCTGTGCCTCTCCCATTTGTCTCAGTTTTGAAATAACAAATTATTCTGAAGTAGGATCAACAACATGCCAATCCTAAGGATGCCAGAGTTCAGGTGCAACCTGTGGGTGGAGGATTGGCAGATAGAGTACCACTACTAGAATCCACCTGCTAGAGTGGCTAATCTGTTGAAAGTAAAATGAGCTTCTGTAGAAAGAGATAAATACTTCACACTTGTCTTTAAACATGCAGCATGCACCACTGTAAAACTGAAAACTAAATAAAATGGTTATAGTAGCTGTTGCTACTATAGAAGTGATAATAGTAATGAAAACATCATACCAATGTGTAGTCCAATACAACTCTTGTTTTTCTGTGGTTCGTATGGGCAGCCAAAAAAAAAAAAAAGTAATAATAGAGAAGAAAGAGAGGATGTATCACTTTAGCCTAAACGTAGGTTTACTTGTAGAGCTAAGATAGTATTAATAACTTAAAAATGACCTTAAGGAATCCCCAAAAGTTCTACAGTTTATTAGTTGTAGCAACTAAAAGTAAATACTCAAACATTTTATGAACTTATTTTTAGGCTGAAAAGCTAAGACATTGGATGTATTGTAGAATGGGAAATGGGCCGAGATGATAGTATAAATTTTCAATGGCATGCCCAAGCCATGAGTGCAGGTAGAAAGCCATGCTGAATCACTATCAATTTATTTGGGCAGAAATAACACCTTGCACCTTAGGTTTATAGCTAACATCACAAAGCCAGACCGATCATAGATATCTCCGACATTGTATTCTGAGTGTGAGTCAGAGGACTCTGTCATTATTTTGGAGAAATATATTCTATCTCTACAATGGAGTGTGTGTGAATACTGTAAGACTAGAAGATGTAAACTTAGACTTTTACCCTTAAATAGAGATGGTTATTTTAAAAGCTGGACCTTTAGGAAAACTGAATATCAACATTCTGTTGATATTAGATTGAAGTCAACAAATCACTCTGTGATATTCACAAATGTGAAATAAGCAGTTATAACTAAACTTTTGGTAAACGAGCTGCCTCATCACTATAAAAACATTTTTCTTGTTATTAATAGTATTGATAAGGAAACAGTTGTATGAATAAAATATCCTTTTGTGCTAAAATAATGTGTAAAATTACCTACAGAAGCTGCTCTTCCATTACTTTGCCTCCTCCGTAAAGAAGTCTAAGTTTGTTTGTTCTATTCTTTAAGTTTGTTCTATTCTTTTCTCTGCCTTCATGAACTTCTGTTAACACACAACCAGCCAGGTGCCTTCCTGCTATAAATTAAGGTGTGGTAGGTAGTCTTGGGGCCCAGCTTAGTCAGTTTTCCCTACTCTTAAAATTTGATTGAGGCTTGATGTAGGCTTAATTTCACAGCTGCACTCAATGTTCCACTTACACACATGAATAACTTAATTCTTTGAATAGCTGCTTAGAATATCCATCATGAAAACTTAAAAAATATATTGAGAAAACCCCTAAAACCATGCAGAATACATTTTGTTTATCCATTAATTGTTGTGGTCTATTCTTACTAATCATGATATCACTGGTTGCAAAGTGAATGAAAATAACGGCTCACAATATTTCACATGATTTATGAAAGGCTGAGAAAGGATATATGAAAACTGAGAACACCCCAACCCCAAACACATTTTGGATACTTTGCATGTCAGTACTGAAGTTCACCTTTCACACCCAAAACTGCCCGTCCTTCTGATTTGGAACATGTAAAATTTATGACCTCTAACCTCTAATACATTAGTGGTCTAATGAACTAAGTTAACCCTTGTAAAGTCAATATAGCTATAACTCTCCTATTTCATGGAAGTACAAGTGTGGTCTAGAATAGCACTGGTCTATAGCGCTAAATTCTATGATGTAAATGTTCTGCATCTACACTGTCCAATAGGGTAGTCACTAGCCACATGGAGCTATCAAGCTCTTCAAATCTGGCTTGTGTGACTAAGGGACTGAATTTTTAATTGTATTTAATTTTAGTTAATTTAAAATTAAATAGCCACACATATTGGATTAGCACAGGTCTAGTAGACCCTTCAAACATTCCGGTAAGTGTTAGAACTGGAAGGTCCATGATGGGCAATCCAGGAATCTTAAATTCTCAGCATTATGTTTCTAAAACTCTATCATTCCTTCGGTATGAATTTTTCCAGAAATTTCACATTTTCAAAAAATAAAACCCAAACCAACCAAATTCTTTAGGCTGCTTTTCTGTATGAATCATCTTTTTGCAAAGAGGTGTAAGACTGATTTTATTGCCAACTCTGCCCCCTCTTTTACAGACAGAACTCAGTGATTAGATTCTACATTTATTTAGGTTATTCTCCTAAAAAACCTGGTTTCCATACTGCAAATAAATGACAGGAACTTTTCCACTAGATTATCCCAGACAGCACAAATGTTCTTCCAAAAGTGGAGACTGGAACCCCAGCCCCCTCACATTGCCTGCTGCATCTGTTTATGCTTACAGAAGTGACATCCACTTTGTAGACAGAGAATGCCAATTTCTTGGGAAAGGACCCAGAATTTGGTGACGCTTGAAGAAAAAAAAAAAACACCTCACTGTTTAAAATAAAAAAATTATATAGAATTGAGTAGCTACAAAATCCTTTTAAAATTGAAAGATTTTGCTCCCAGAGTGTATAGCTTCTGTGTACAGATGTGCCTGGGTTTGTATTCGGCCATAATCATTTACTAGCTAATAAAGTTGTGGGTAAGTTACAACACCTAAACCTGGATTTTCCTATCTATGAAATTGGGATAATAATAGTTCTGTTGGGAAAACTTGTGAAAGACTTTGAAATGAGCAAAAGATTACCTACTGTTCCTCCTTTCAGTGGAATGCTGGATGTCATCTCCAGGACTCCAGAGTGTTGTGATTCTACAGTAGTCTGCAACTTTCATTGACTTTCACTAGTCTATTTTACTACTCAGTAAGCTGTAGAAATTTATGGTAATGTAAGTGATTCTTATCTATAGAAATGCAAATTTATTTTGTTCCTTAGGCAAACAATTGGTTACCGCCCTGTAAAACAGATAATTCTAAACATTATATTTCAGAGCCCTAAAGAATATTAAGCAGTTTTGTCTCTTTCCTGATTGCCTATATGTGTCTGTTCTTCACCTTCTCATTTGAATGGGTTGCAGTATCTTGCTGATTCTCGCCCTAATTAAAGAGTCAAGTAAAATTTTTGACCCATGTTCATTTTATATTTCTATGAGACTCATGTTGTTAAAAAATTACTCTTCTTAAAAAATTACTCTTTAAGAGTTTCTGTCCTATTGGCTTTTGGGGAGGATTGGTTTAAAGGTCTGTATTGACACTCGCGACAAGTTTTATATTTTACAGTAAGGCTGTAACACTTCTGGTATTTTTGGGTGGGAGAGGGAGTACTGAGCATTTATAAAAGGGAGGGGGGGGTGAAAAACCCTTCCCAGTGAAGTCAGAAGGCTTCCTGCTTCCTGTCGGCAATGGGACCTTAAGGTCAAGGTGTGTAGTAGCCAAGGCCCACTTTGCGTAGGTGTGGGCCACACCAGACTTGGGCCTAAGTCTTGGCCTTTCAGGCCAGAAGAGTGGCCCGGGTTTTGTATGCCCTGGGGTCACGGAGTTAACTGCAGACGACGTGGGGCCCCGGCAGCGGGCAGCCCAAGAACCCATTTCCCGAACCGGCACCCACCTGAACAGGAAGGTGGCCTTGCCCCAGGCCGGAGAGGCCCCTCGCCCACGGCCAGGGGGGTGGGGCGGCCTCGCCTCGGGCCGGTGCTTTTCGCCCTTCCTTGGCCGCCAGAGGCTCCCTCTCTCTCCCTCTCCTGGGATTTTGCTGCCGGGCTCCCTCTCTCTGCGGCCCTAGAGTTAATCCCATCAGCCGAGGTGAGGCACCTGTTACCCCTGGCCTTCCTCACCCCCGCGGCCTCTCCTCCATTACACCCCGGCCTCCCCGGCCGGCCAAAGGGCCGGCGCGGCGACCGCACGTGGGCCAAGCCCCCTCCCGGGCCGGCACCCCTCGCCCCAGGCCGGCCCGAGTGTGAGAGCGCGTCCGTGCCCGGGCCGCCGCCCGCCCGCAATGGCGTTGGGGAGCGCAACGCGCCTCCCGGGGCCGCCCGGCGCGGACTGGGCGCGCGTGGGGGCCGGAGCGCGAGTGGAAGCGGCCGTGGCAGCCGCCCTTCGCGCTGCGCCCTGAGGAGCGGGCGGAGGGGCAGCCAGCGGGCCGGCGCCCAGCCGAGCCGCGGCGGCCACCGTGGGGCGGGCGGGGGGCGCCTGAGAGGAGGGGGTGGGAGCCGCGGCGGCCCGACCCTCCCGCCCGCGGCGCTCGCGCTCGGGTAAGGGGGAGGCTGTGCGCCGGGCGAGGAGTTAGGGAGGGTGGAGATGAGGAGAAAAATCGGCATGTACAAAGGCTGAGTTGCAGGCTGGGGGTGGGGTGGGTTGTGGTTGAGGAGCGATAGGTTGAAGATCGGAGGCATTATCAGTGGAATCTATTGTTTCCTGGCACATTGGGAGGAAAAACAAAGGGATTTATTATCATTACCCTGTAATTTTTTTTCCTCTCCTTCTTTTTTTTTTAAATGTGGCCAGGGAGCTCGTCTCTCCCGGTGCCACACTGGGATCCGCCTGGCAGCCGCCGGGAGCCGCAGCCAATGTGTTAGGACTTCAGGTGCTTCTTGGCACAAAGCTAGACTGCGACCTCCTACCATAACGTTTGGCGTCACCTGCTCTCCCGGCCCTGCCCCAGGGCCGAGGGATTGCGTCCCGAACCAGGCTTGGGAATCGGCTGCCTCTCAAGTTGGTGTTATTTATGTTTGTCTTTTGTGAGGGCAGGTTTTGAATCCCCTGGCGGCCCCATCGCCCCCGCCCCCGCCCCCTCGGGCTCGAATTGGCGGGGGAGGGAATGGGGTGTGTGTGCAGGGGAGAGGGGAGGGTGTTTATGGCTTTAAAACAATGTCAGGGTAAAAGGAGATTGTCGATGCTTTACAAAAAAAGAAAAAAAACAGGCACCACACTCTGAAGCCTTTCTTGTTTGTCTGCATGGGCCATGCATGCGTGCTGGGCCAGGAGCCGAGTTTGGAGACGGTTTAAGTTAAAGTGTGTGCTTCCTCAGCTGATTGTGCGTGAGGGTGATGTGGCTCTGTCTAATATCAAAACAAAACAGAAACAAAATGAAAAATCTTTAGTACTGCATTGTCTGCTCATTAGCATATCTTGAAGTATTTGCTTGCTGGCATATTGATATAAAATCCAGCTGTGGGCTAAAGGAGACCAGCAAGCATGCATTGCTTTAGGATTAGAGCTTGTAGTAAGTTAAAGTCAAGAAAGAATAAACAAATCAGGGCTATGAAAAGAGGTGTCACGGTATATTTGCTTTCTGATCCTCACATTCTCATGTATTTATTCCCGTGATAGTCTACATCCCACTCCATCATTAATAATATCCACTGTCAGGAAACTTCCAAATATTTTAGATAACTGAACTTAGAGTGAAACTTACAGCCCATTCAAGAACTTTTTTTTCCTTGTTTTGGTCTAAAATTACACTAGTGTTGCTTTGGAGGTGCTGTAGATGAGAATATTGTGCCAGAAAAAGAGAAATAAGCTTCTGTAGCCATGTTTTGGAGTCTGTAAACATAGATTCCAAACTTTTGGTTGTACTTAGAATAAATTTTACCTGATTGTGTAGAATCCCAAATTAAGTTGATTTTCTCGACAATTTGATGATTTCTTAAAGATCAATGAACTGCTGGTTTCTTTTAAGGGCACTTACAAAAGCAACAAAAACTTGGGCTAGAGTATTGCTTTCATATGTACTTATGTGTAACTTGTATTTGTGAATGAGTGTGTGTGTGTGATTTTTGTAGGGATTCCCAAATTGTGTTTGAAACTTTTTTGTTACCTAAGACCAATCAGAATAACTTTTAACTACTTGACTTTTAACTTCCCATTTCAATAAGTAATTTATTGTTTGACATGTGGCTAAGCCACTTGGAAAATAAAGTATGTATTAATTGACTAAACAAATTCGAATAAGTAAGTGAATTCAGAAATTCATTCTTTTCTATTACAGATGAACCTCTAGTCTTGCTTTGAAAAAGGCATTTTGTGTAACTCTTGACTGTGAATAATTTCCTAATACACCTGTTGGGACAATCACTGACAGAGTATACCATTTGAGAGGTACTTTTCTTGACCAAATACTGGTGATTAGAGAAGAGAGGTATTTTTGTTTTGTTTTTTTTTTTTTTTTTCCTCTGATCATTATGAACATTGGCTTTTCACTTCTGAAGTAAAAATGTTGAAAGCCGAGTCTTCAGGTGAACGAACCACTCTCAGAAGTGCCTCTCCTCACAGGAATGCATATAGAACTGAGTTCCAGGCACTGAAAAGTACCTTTGACAAGCCCAAGTCAGATGGGGAACAAAAAACAAAAGAAGGTGAGAGCTCCCAACAGAGCAGGGGGAGGAAATATGGCTCTAATGTCAACAGAATTAAAAATCTATTTATGCAGATGGGTATGGAACCCAATGAGAATGCTGCTGTCATTGCCAAAACAAGGGGGAAAGGTGGACATTCCTCTCCTCAGAGGAGAATGAAGCCCAAAGAATTTCTGGAGAAAACAGATGGCTCTGTTGTTAAATTGGAGTCCTCTGTTTCTGAACGAATTAGTAGATTTGACACAATGTACGATGGCCCTTCATATTCTAAGTTCACTGAGACTCGGAAGATGTTTGAGAGAAGTGTGCATGAGTCAGGACAAAACAACCGCTATTCCCCAAAAAAGGAGAAAGCTGGGGGGAGTGAACCTCAGGATGAGTGGGTTGGTTCCAAGTCCAATAGAGGCAGTACTGATTCCTTGGACAGCCTCAGCTCCCGGACTGAGGCTGTCTCCCCAACTGTGAGTCAACTGAGTGCAGTATTTGAGAACACTGATTCCCCCAGTGCCATCATTTCTGAAAAAGCTGAGAACAGTGAATACTCAGTGACTGGGCATTATCCCTTGAATTTACCATCTGTTACTGTTACAAATCTTGACACCTTTGGCCACCTTAAGGATTCTAATTCTTGGGCTCCTTCAAACAAACAAGATGTTGATACAGAGGATGCTCAGAAGAGTCATACTACTCCAGTACTAGAAGTGGCTTCTAAAAGTAGCTCTCTAGCTCTGATACCTAGTGAAGAGAACCAGCAGAGCAAGGAAGCCGAAGACTCCACATCTAACCAGGAGACTCCTGGCAGAAGTGACATTACCGAAGAACCTTGTGCTGAAAATAAGACAATGCCAAAATCGGGACTCCTCTCACCACAAAACAAACCTTTAGAAGATGCTGAAGCTAATTTGGCAGCAAAGCAACAGAAGAAAAGATTTGCAGGTGGTGATTTTCCCTCTCCTGATACTTCTGCATCCAGTTGTGGAAAAGAAACACCTGAAGATTCATACAATTTGGAGAGTTCCCATGTGTATATGCAGAGTGACTATAATGTGTATAGGGTGAGATCCAGGTATAAATCAGACTGGGGAGGGACAGGCACTGAGCAGGACGAGGAGGAAGATAGTGATGAGAATTATTACTATCGGGCTGATATGGAATACTCGGAAATCCTTGGGTTGTCAGAAGAAGAAGACATCCCAGAAAATAGGAAAATTAAGTTTAGTAGATCTCCGATTAAGGTAAGTATGTTTTCTTAGTTTGTATTCTGAGTTTGTGTTTAATATGGGTCCTAACTGTATGCAGAATAGATTTGACAGCTACTGAAGTTTATGTAAGGAATTCAAGATTGTTGATGCACACCTGTTGTCAGGTGATTTTAAAAGTTTGGAGTTTGAGAGATATCAAATGCTTTATAATGGCATAAACCAGTAATATTAAAGTTGAACAAGTTTGGGGATTGTGAGATACATTCCAATGGATTGGAGTATGAATAACGTGAAAAATCCGGAGTGTCAGTTTGAAATATAGTTACTTTAACTAGTTTTCCCTAAAATTACCCATGAATAATATTATTTTATGCATCTACCCATTGTAAGATATGAAGTATAATGTACAATGGGAGAGTTATGGTAACCTTGAAATAATTCTCTTGCTTAAAAAATCTGAGTTATTCCTTTCTTAACTGTAAGTGGATTGTGAGGAATGTTGCTGGGACTTTTTCTTTGGTACTGCTACGTGTTGGTAAAAACTTGATTTGTGGAAATATATTAGCTGACTTAAATACTTTGAAAAGCTTTGACTGTAAACAGCTTTGAGTTCAAAATTATGTAGCTTTAAAATGAAATTTTGTGAAAGGAAGTAAAATTGATTTGCCATTCATGGATTTATTTTTACCTCTTAAAAACTGGATAAATGCCAGTTGAATTCAGATGCTCTATTCTAATGATTTCACTTAGTTAACATTTGGCATAGAAGAATAGCATAAAGTACATCTGCAGTGGTGGTAGAACAATATTAACTTATTAGCTGGTAATGGCAATAGGGGCAGGAGGTGGTTGGTTGAGTGTCAGAATCTCCTGGAGTGCTTTTTCAAAGCCCACCAGCTCAGTCCTAAGATTCTGTCATGCTGTCCTTGGGGAATCTGGAGGGTTATGGTGGCGTAGTTTGAAACCACCTTTAGGGGCTTCTAGCTTACACAGTGTGTATGTAAGATAGATTTGGAATTTGATACCCTATTTTTGTAAATTTTCCCCTTAAAATCTAAAATCACTGTCTGTTGTTATTTCCAGCTTATGCACTTCCAAGTAAGGCTGCAAGATACATAATTTACATAGAGAATTCAAAGAGAAATCTGACATGCTTTAGTTATGAAATACTATTTTGCGATTAAATTATTTACAGGTGTTAGTAGGCAAAACTTCATTATATTAGTGTAAGGCAGAAGTTCTGGATCAGAATGGGGCATGCCAAGTTAAATTGTGCTTAAAATCAACTAGAGATATGAATCTAGTTGGAAAGTGAGCTAAGTTTCTTTGCAGTGCTTTACCACCTTGCTTTGTTATTCTCTTTCTCCTTCCCTGTCTTCTTTTCCTACTCCAAACCCCAACTCTAGGCACTGTCTTGAAAGGTGCCTTCCCCTCAGGCATATTCAGTGAGCTCCTAAAATTTCACTATTTATGTCCCCTTTGAATATCATCTTTCTGCCCTTTAGGAGGAAAACAATAAGACAACATCATTTTTACATTGAGCAAGGCAGGAATAACTGAAATGGACTTTTCAAGGAGTTTGTTAAACCCAGAGACTGACTTTTTAATAGAGGGATAACAGCTTCTGAAAATTTATCAGGTAAAACACTACCCACTCAACCAAATTGGACACCAGTCTTGTATTTGGGTCCTGTGCTGCATAAAACATAACTGCGAAGTAGTAGGTTTAATAGATTTTAAAGGACTTATCATTGAATTATGTCTGTTTATATGTGAACAAACCAGCTTTTTGGGTGTGATGTTTTGAAATTCAAGTGATTTTTGCTACTATCGTTTATAACAATAAGCATTTTGCCTCTTAATTTTCATATAATAAAGAGACTGAATTTCCTATAGCAAAGAATGAAAATAAATTACCTACATTTAAGTTTAACACATTTCATCAAGAATTTAGATCAAGCATAAGATTTGTGAAACAAAGATAATGTATAGCTTTTTATTGGGCAGTTAGTTAACAGGACTGGTTGGAGTGGATTAAGTTTGGAAACAGAAGATTCATTCTTAGCCCTTTGTAATGAATAAGACAATTACTGTTTCTCGATGCTTCCATTGTTTAACACGCAAGTGGATTCACTTGGAAAATTTGAGAGCTGCTTTCTACTGGTGGGGGTGGTGGTAGTGTTTAGGTTATTCTCTAATTAAGATTTTATGCCTCAGAGGGTGGTAATACCTAATTAAATTCAATAAGTATTTGTTGAAGGCTTATCATGTGTGTTCTCTCATGCTGTTAGCTGTAGAAAACACAAAAATCTATAAGGTTACCCCTTTCCTCTGAGCTTGTAGAGTCAATTCTTAAACATATTGTATTTAAAACTCATAAACACAGTGTAAAAAATTGTGCCAAAATGTCTAATGTCCTATGAATCCTTTAATGGTACTTGGCTGTACTAAATATATAGTGTGAAAGGGATTTGATAGGTTACTTGGAAAGGAATACACACAACCATTCCCTGTGTTTCTTTATTCTTTTCATGAAGCTTTATTTATGGAATAAATAAAGTTATGATATTCAACCTAATTTTTTTCCTTTGAAATTTAAACATACTTCCTCTTTCGGAAGCCATAGGGAACATATTCCTTACAGAAATGATTTTTAGAACTTTTACATTCTTTTCCTGATATTCTCACTTTATTCTCTACTAGGTTAAATACTCCCAACACCTTTAGCCTTTTGTTGTAGATCTTGTTTATGATCTTTTGCATGTGTGATACTGTCCTCAATGTCTAGTTCAGTTGTTCTTATGGATGTTTTAAATAGATATTTCCCCACACTGTCTTAAATATGGACCTAGAAAAACTTCAAAATAGTAGCTGATCTTTCCTGTGTAGCATATTCCTTGTACTTGTTAGTGACTTTAAAAAATGGTTGGATTGTATTGTTCATAAAAAGTATAATTCTATGTTTCATGATCAGTTGTTTATAGTGGATAGGTTGATATGTTTCATAGAGTCGTGGAATATTAGAATGGGATTAATAATAGAAAATATAAAATTCCAACTTTGAGATACAGAATGGGAGAATATTATGAACCATGCTAATTTGAAATGTGGAATTATGTCTTTATTCTCCGGAATTTCTCAAAACCAAGGGATTGAATTAAAGTAAATTTTTCTCAGATAAATCAAGGATAGAGAGGGTGACATTGGTCATTTGTTCTATTAAGAACATTTGCTGAGTCCCTAATATGTGTCACGAAAAAAATGGGAATATAAAAAATACATAAAATAACTGGAGCTGACCAAGTCAGGAACTGCTGGTAGCTGGGAAGTGTACAGCCTATTAAGGAACCTTCTTAGGCTGTTTTGCTCAACTCTGTTCTTTGATGACCTTTCTAAGGTCACTGCAGTCTCATTAGGGAAGTCATAACCCTTTCTGTGTTTCTGGTAGCCTTATGTCCTTTGGGTTGGCATTATTGAAACATAGCATATCTAAAAAAAGAGATTTTCCTAGCTTCCAGCAAGGAGATTGCAGAGTTAATGTTGAGGTGCATTGTGCTATACTTTGTTTTCTCAAACTGTATGGAGCTTTACAGGATTAGAGTTCAAAAAATCAGCAAAGGCAGCCATACTTCTTTAAACCCTACATGATAGTTGTTGACAATGTATCTCCTTGTATTCTCTCCCCCTTTTCAGACTCCCAGTTATTGTCAGGGGGTACATGAAGCCTTTTGTTCAGGGTAGTTCTTCTGAGATCTGACTTTTTGTCTTTGAGGAGGCTTCTCTTTCTTTTTAACAGTTTCCTCAGTGCATCTTAAACTTTAATATGCATATAAACCACTTGGGGACTTTGTTAATGTGCAGATTCAGATTCAGGAGGTGTTCTGTGGGAAATTACCCTGATGCAGTGGTTAGCCTACAAGCTCACTGCCAGGCATGCTGTCTCAGGTTGTGGGATAGAAGTGCTCAGTGACCAAATTAAAATGCTTGAACCACAGGATTTATTCAGTCAATTTAAAACACAAACCCAGAAGCAAGAGAAGAGCTGTGGAGTAAGTTAATGCACTTGATATAAGGTACAAACAAGGTTGGAAGGAGCATACTACCTGCATCCTGTCTCTGTCTTTCATATCTGCCTTCCCCATAGACGATGTCATTTTGAGGACCAGAGATGATGTAATATTTGAGCCAAGACTCCATAGACTAATGATGTCCTTGGTCAAAGATGGCTACTTGCTCTGTTGAAGAGATGTGACGCACTAGTACATCCGGGTATAGCTGTTCTTTGCCAGTGTGCTTGCATAGGACCATGCTAGGTGTCCTCAGTGAGTAGCTGACATGGAGGGAACACAGTTGTCAGTCCAGAGATGGCATAATGATGGCTTGGTCTTTTCATCCCTTTCTTTATAAATAAACTCCATTTGTCTTTTTTTGTTTGAGACAGGGTCTTGCTAAGTTCCCCAGGCTGGTCTTGCACTCCTGGCCTCAAGTGATCCCCCTACCTCGGCTTCCGAAGTGCTGGGATTACAGGCATGAACCACTGTGCCCAGCAATCAACCTCATTTGTTCCGTCATAATTTCTATTTATTCTTTTGTCGTCATATTTTACAGGCTACTAACTTACTTTTTAACACATCTTTTGAATTCTGCCTTCTTTTCATCAGCTTGCATTGTCATTATCAGTACTTAACACAGCTTGTGAATGTTGCCTCTAACTCATAAGCTATTATTTACTATCTATGATTATCACTTCCTAGGAGTTTCTCCATCCCATTTGTTTTTTTTACCTCTCTAACAGAAATTAATATTCTCAAATAATATAGCAAACTCACATAACAGTAGATCTGGCATGGGACCTGAGATTTTGCATTTTTAACAAGTTGTGCTGATGCTGCTGACAGATTACTGTTTGGAATATGATTGAAGTACAGTCTTGTGGCTTCTGAAAGGGGCTGTCCATAAAATGTTGGGGAACCTCATTTAATAAATCTGCTTTCCAGGTGGGGCTGCTGTAGCCGACTGGGTGGAATAATATT